TTTTTTTTTTTTTTTTTTTTTTTTTTTTTTTTTTTTTTTTTTTTTTTTTTTTTTTTTTTTTTTTTTTTTTTTTTTTTTTTTTTTTTTTTTTTTTTCACATTTAAGTCTACGTATTTTATTTTGAAACTTTGACAATATGTGTTCTTTTTCTTTTTTCAACCATGTTATTATCATTTTGGAGTGATTAGGTTTGAAATGAATTTTAAGTTATTAAAGTGAATTATTTTTCAATGAATTTTCGTACCGAGTATGATATGAACTAAGAGATATCAATCATACAAAAGTAATGAAGAAGGGAAGAAAATATTATCAAAATTATAAAAAAAAAATTGTTCCAATTCATGCCACATTAAATTAAAGAAGAATGAAATGGAGAATGAAATTTTTTTGTTATAAATTTTGGGTGGAGTTTATGATGTTTCCTCAGGATTTTTTATTTATTACATTTACATACTGATTAATTATGACCACAAAGTAGGAATGTTACCACTTTTAAATACTTTTTAAGAGTTTTACTTTTGAAGTTATATAAAGTTGAAAAATGTAGTAAAAGAAGTATTTGTGCTTTTCTTTAGCCAATGACTAAGTTTCTTTTCAATGGTAGGTAGTTTAGATTGCAGGTAAAATTATTCAAGTTTGACATGATCAATTTTACTTGTGAAGTGATTCGAATCTCAAACAAGCGTTCTTATCTTAAAATATTTGATCAACAAGAATCATTCAAGCTAGAAATGATCGATATTTACTTATGGAGTGATTCGAATCTCAAATAAATATTCTTGCCTTGAGATATTTGATCACTAAAGTAATCTAAATCTTACTCCTCTTGTGATGATTACCTTATCATTTGAAATCAGATCTTTCCTTCCATATCATTTGGTATTAGAGCTTTCTCTTCGACTGATTACCATATATATATATAGTAACGGTATTATTTAAAAGAAAAAATAGGATTGTTATATAGAACAATCAACAAAGACGAGTGCACATGCAGCGACGACGGATGCCATCACATTCACCGCCGGAGAAGCCTTCAGACTGGCAGACAACATAGCAATTGTGGTTGATCAAGCAAAGGCCATGGAACTTCTGGCTCGGCGACTGGCATACTCGTCCCTCAACAGTACGACCAATCATCTCTTCTGTAATTAATACATATTAGCAACAAAGGAGGAAGAAGAAGAAATGGCAAAGATGGTAGGGTTAGACTTTAATTACCTGAAGAAGAGAAGATGAGGAGGATCAATAGGAACATGGAGAGGAAGGATTTGTTCATCATCTTTACCTATTACCTTGTTCTTCGAGCTGTGACCAAATGGTCGAAGACACTCCTTGTTATATAAAGCACTCTCATAAGCGTTCTTGTTCAATCACTCCCGCACACAGTATACTCTTTGTTTAAGCACACAGTTTATCTTAAAATAACTAATTTGACACGTATTTTAAAATATATTATTATAATGATATATGCTATAAAGATTCAAATTCAAAACTTTTATAAATCAACTTAATTAATTCTTTTTTAATACACTTTTAAATGATGTATTTTATGGGATTTTTTTTTCTTTTATGCTATTAAATTTTTTTAGTAATCTCGAATCATCCGCTCCCGGAAGAATTCGAAGAATTTCTCGGGAATCCTACATGATCCATTCGTTCTTTTTTCTCTGACAGATGGTCAGAACTTCATATGGGTTCGAATCCTATTGAGAGGTTCACTAGAGATCAGAAATTGTATCTTTTGTCCCTTCCAGACGATCGGAAAATAAAGAAATAGTTAATATATTCAAGATAATTACGTATTTACAAAATACCGTCTCAATTCATCCTATTTCATCAGATCTGGGATGTGATATGGTTCCGAAGGATGAACTGGATTCTTGAATAAAAATCCATTTATTTATTTATTTCATCTATTCCATGACGAGGGGGCAATAAATGCGAGAATATTTACTTCCATAATCTCATCGTTTCATTTTTTATTCGCAATAACTCGGGATTTAATCCCATAGAGATGATAAATGTTTCGCTTGTAAATTCAATGGGCTGCATTGCATCTCGATGATATCGAATCGTATTAAAATATCATGAATAACAATATCGGAGCTATCAAATCGAATCATCGTCGAGAATTGAATAGTATAACATAAGAAGATCTTTTATCCATACCGAATTCAAATAAAATGGGATTCCTGATCCAATCAAGAATTTCTGTACTTTTTTTTTTATTTCTAATTTTTTGCATTCTTTCTTTTCTATAATCTACTGCTCTCTTGTCCAATGCAATTATCTGATGAAGTCTCATCAGACTACCTTTACCCTCACAATCGAATCGAATCACAGGCTCTTGACGTTGCCTTATATGTCTCTCTATCTCTTGTATTTGTCTCTTTCGCGGGTATCATGGAAAAAACAGTGTGCTAAGATGGAGCTACTCGACAAATTTTGATCTACACATAAGAAAAGAACAAAAAAAAAAAAAAAAAAAAAAAT